ATGGCTGTCGCGTAAGTTAATAATTTGCGAATCACGTGCTATCTGCTCGAATATTTTTTTAAAAAAGCTTCCGATCGTCGATTGACACTCGCCCTTGTCACGACCGAGTCACTGTCTTTGTTTATTTGCGAATCGAGATTTTCACTAATTGCGATGTAAAAATAACTGTAAAGTCCTTGCTTAGAGATCCGTTTTATGTCGTACTGACGTGATTTACCTTAGAGATCCTATAATCAAAGTTTGGCGAAAGCGGGTACAACTTCTGATTGGTTCTCCACTTTGGTCCACTCGGTATTTATACAGCAGTGGAATTCTGTAACTCGTTATGCAGTCGTTGTGTATTCATAACGTCAATCTTTTACTATGTAAAATGTCTGCGCAACTGTCGTTATGAACACATAAGGACTGTATAACGAGTTACAAAATACAGGGGCAGCGCAGGTACAATCGAGTCTATCGTTGTTTCGTCGCGGATACCGAGCTTGAAACAATAGGCCTACGTTCAGATTAGTAAAGTTATCTGTAACTCAACGTTCTTCGAAATACACTTATTATTTACTTTTCTTGTTAATTTCTGTGTAATTCTTGCAACCTATCTCTCTCATCCTCCGACATTTTTCCTGCCTACACCGATTCACCTCTGTTGCCGTCGCGAATTATATTGTGCGCAAATATCGTAAATTAAGCAAAAATTAACGAAAGAGAGGCATGCTCCCTCGTGCCTGGCGCCCAACTTGTGTTTGAGGAAAAGCTCCGATATTTTTTGCGAAAAATCTGATTACCGAGTCGTCCCATAAGGGAGTACATTTATTTGAAAAATATAATAGAGTACGCGAAGTTGTGTCGTTACTTGTGAGTACGGTTACAGTATAGACAAAATGCTATGCAAACGGCTGATTTGTATGCTTGCACCATGATGGAAGGGATAACATGGTGTGTGCAGTTTGGTCAAACCACGCCTACTTTTTTGCTCTGCGTCGTCTCTCAGTGAGTGAAATAGAGAGCCTCACAGGGAGAGAGTGGCAAATTGCATCACGTGAATGTCCAATCAGGACGGGGATCATGTGACCAAATTTCTCCAATCTCTTCCTATGAAGCTTTGATGCTCATACCTAATCAGAGGAGACGGGTCACGTGATGCAGTTTGCCACTCTCTCTGTGAGGCTCTTAAACCAAGAGGTCACTGAGTAATTTTGTTACTCATAGCGACAAGTATAGGAAGTGAGTAACCTTTTAGTTTATGTAAAATATAAAAACAATACATATATATTTAAGCCCTGTCGCGATCGCTTGAAGAGGAGGTGGGCTTTCCAAAATGTTGCAGATTTTGATTTTTTTATTGAAAACGTCAAGGTTGAATATTGTTGCAATCGATAGTTAATACCCTTATTCCAAGCTAGGCGGACTCCTATATCTCTCAGAAGGGTGCAAGGGATCGTCATACTGGGTCAAAGTGGTAAATTTTTTTTGGAAACAAAATCGATAGCGACAAGATTGAATTTATGTCTACTACTTAATTTTGATATCAATTGTCGAGAAATATGATTCTCATACTTTTTGGATGATCACGAAGACAGCCATACCTATCTGAATACGTACAATTTTCTTACTCTATGTAAAATTGTTTATATTTGGGTAAGAATGGCTGCTTTCGTGACCATCTAAAAGGTATGGGAGACATATTTCTCGACAATTGATATCAAAATTAAGTAACAGACCAAAATTCAACTTTGTCGCTATCGATTTTTTTTTCTTTTACTAATATTTAACAATCGAGAGGTTTGTTTATTTTCTTAGAAATAATTCCAAATTTGGTGAAAGATATTCCGCTTAAAGATAGGGTTCGAATGTGGCTTCAGTTAGATGATATACTCACTTCAGTATAAATACGAAACGAGAGCTCAACAAAATGTTCAAACAAATGAATTAGTAGAGGCGGTTCTACGTTATTCTTTGTGAAATTATCCAATTTAACATGTTTGGACTATTACCTTTGGGGAAGAATGAAGGAGCTAGCATATTTTCAATGTCCTATCACTTCGGAAAATATGAGAGAAAGAAAACATATTTTTCGCGAAATAATAATTCAAGACTTAGAAGAAGTCCAAGCAAACTTTCTATCAAGACTACAGACATATCTAGATCAACATGGCGAACATTTTGAATATCTGTTGCAATAATAAAAAATTTGTTCCAAACTTTCAGTCTGACTTGTTTTGGTTTATATCCCGACAATAGTCAAATTTTTGAAAAGATACTCTAATGCAAAATTATTCAGTTTATTGAGTACCATCGAAAGAACAAGTAAAACTCTTTCCCATTAAAAAAAAATTCTTTATTAGTAGTACGAAAACCAAGGACATTTAAGATTATTCAAAGTCATCAAAGTATGTCTCACTACTATAATTTTGATGATAGATGTCTTCCCCTTATCTCTAACCGTTTTCGAAAAAAACGTGAATTTTGTATCAGACTCACCCTGTATATAATTATTGTTTTTTTTTATTGCCGTTAAGTCTGTAAAACGAATATTATTCTTTATTTAAATATTGTCTTTTGTCAATATATAACAGGCGAATAAATTTTTATATTATTTTTAATATAATTTAATATTACAAGAAAACAAACCATATATTGCAAAAATCAGTTTAATTAGAAATTTTATATAACACAAACACGAACATTAACATTTTGCAAATTACAAGACAACTTTACTGTTATTAAGTATGTTTAAATTTTTCATAAATTTACAATTTAAATTATTACACAATATCAAATTCGATTCATAATTTATTTTAAATTCCACTAATTTGTAGCTAACATTTTATTATATTATTTATATAAGATAAGGGAGAATCTCCTAATCCAATTGAAAGATAAGAATATGAATAATTTTAGTTGCAATGTTCCTTATCTTTAATCATTGCTATCTAGATTAAGTATAAATTAAGTACATTAAGTATAAAGAATCCACGAAAAGTTTACTTTTGGTAAAGATTCTAAATTAATTAGAAAAAATTGAATTAAATTATAAAGTTACGACCTTGAATAGCTTTTGGAGAAGGCAAAATAGAAGACAATTAGAAAACCGAAATACGCCGTGAAGACGTAAACGAAAATAAAATTTGTTTAACGAAGTCATTTCACCGCCAGTGCTTTTCTTCCTTCTCATTTGCATCATGAATTAGATTACAGACGCACAAATAGACTCACAATCAGCAACTTTTCCTTAAAGAAATGATGTGTTTACAAAAGCTCGAAATGTACAAAAGCATAAGTAATTAAAAAAAAAGACACATTTTAAAAAATGAATGCATTTATTTCGCTAACATGCAATGTTGCTCATTTAACGAGCAAAATCGATTACTACAAGTAGAATAAAGATAATTGCTGGAGAACTTTCTGAGCCAACGAAAAAAAAAATCCAGCTTTCGCGACGATTGCGGGAAGAAAATTGGACGATAAAGACGTAAGATCGTATTGCGTCGACGGACAATGAAGTAATTAAAGGAGAGGTATAGGGTGAATTTCCTTAATCCTTGTACGACACTCTAAAGCCGAATTAAATTAAGGAAAAGAAAGCATCGTATTTATGTTGGAAATGCACGATACTAATTCTATACTGATAATTTTCATTGAAAATCTTACTTTCTGAAGCAACAGTTTATATTTCGATTATTTTTGAAAAAGAAAATTTTAGATGCAACTGACTAGGAGATTCTATCTTTAAACGTCAAAGTTTTAATATGACGCGGATGGAGATTTATTGTCGAAAAGAAACTCTTTCATAAGTTTAGAAATCATGACCTGAATAGAAGAGTTTAAAATAGACAGGAATGGAAAATATAACATATGATGTATTTATATTTTTGTAAATATTTTACACACAAACATATATACGATGTATCCGCTTCCACTATAAATTCATGTTTTCAGCACACAAGCAGAGAATTATATATGACGCTGCATATCGAGATTTTCGTTTCAAAGCCTCGTTACAAGTCGTTTTGAAGCAGTTCTTACAAGCGTCATACAGTGATAATAAATCACACCATGAAAGGGATGTGAAGGGAATTCAGACAATTTAATATGCAAACAGATATATCTGCGATGTATAATCAATTTATTCTGATCGATTTAAATAAAATATTGAAATGTGTCAATATTGCCTTTTCTCTCGAAGAAATGGTAATTTTAGAAATATTCTTTTAATACTTGTCTTCGATGTCTTCAACATCCTTATGTTATTTTACTATAATCAGTTATATAATATTTATAATTTATTTGTGTTATTATATTCCAGTTTTGTGAGAAAAGTGTGTACTTTAAAATTAGTTATTTATTGTGGCAATATTAAACATAAATTAATTTAAGGCTAATCACAAATTGCTTGTTTCAAATTTTCTATAGGAAATATAGTTATTATTATATATTTTGTTATGGAATTATGTTATTTCTAAAAACTCTACCTCTATTTTGATTAATGTCATTTGTCTCTTGCATCATTTTTCTTTGGAAGAAGTATTTGATTTCAACTTATATCTGTCAATAATGAAGGCCAATGTATTTAGAACACAACCTACACATATGAAATTAAAAAAAAATTCACTTTGTGTCATTTTTTATGATATATGGATGTATTAAGAATAATATAACGAATTTGATTGGACGTATTATTAGTGAACTGATCCATATTAAAGTTGTACACTGATTTAATCTAAAATCTCATAAAAAATAAAAAATAGATATTTCGAATTATAAAATACATATTTTACTTAATTAACTGCGCAATAAAACATATCGACTTTACGGTTTAATTTGTTTTTATTAATATTAATTAGGTACACAGTTTTATATCAATTTACGTACGGCTTTAATATGCACTGGTGCGCACCGAAGACGTCTAATCAAATTTGCTACCTAATAGTAGGGAAATATTCATGTACTACTGTTACTGAAAAATTTATTAAAAATAAAATAAATGTTATTTTATGTTTTAGCGGGGTATCAACCGCGAGCCACTCGAGTAGTTCAACTTTCGCGGCCAAAATGAACTTACAGAGGATCCTGTCGTGGATGTGGTGCTTCCTAGTTACAAGTGAATGTTACAACGCAAAGAAAAGAGGCGAGGATGGCTCGAAGTTAATACGTATTGATGGTGATATCATCCTCGGCGGGATCTTTCCGATGCACGAACAGGTAAAAGCTTCTTTAATTTTACTATATAAAACTCGATGTATCAATGATTGCGTTAGTTACTGATTTCCTTGGTATAATTTCACAGAATAAACAATTTTGTTAAAGTATCCAAAAATTTAAGTAGATACAGATCTAGAAATATAATTTTGTTGGTTCGTCAAAATAATTACACAGGAAATTGAAGCATGATAAACAATAATGCAAAAAGTTTTAACATTTTAACAATCAGTTCGAGCATTTTACATAATTATTATGATAATAATTCAAACAAATATTTTTGGATCTATATCTAGCTAAATTTTTAAACACTTTAGTAAAACTATTTTTTTCATAATTTAAAATTAAATTTTCTTTAGTGAAAGTTTTGACTTGGTTGATCATATTTTTTAATTTTTTACGTTTGTTTGTTTGAAGATTTTAAACAAACAAACACTTATACATTTTTATTTTTTAAAAGTTTGACGTTTTCCATATTGTATATATTATACATTAAAATAAATTATTGTATATACATAAGTATTTATAAACGCAATAAATTTACTGTGCAATTAGTAAGAAATAAATATTTTGGTAATTGGATAATAAAATAGAACTTTTATTAAAATAAGTTCAAAGCAGAATGGAAAATAAATGTTTATTATCCATTTGCGTAATTTACTTATAAGATTTTTGTTCTCTATATTAAATTAATATTTACTAATTACATTTTTCAAGAAACTTTTCTCGAAGTCTTCATTTACAAAAGTTAATTTTGGCTTATAAAATATAATTTTTGATAAAAATATAAAATATTATTGTTGTATACATCATGTGATGTATACATCATATGATCTGTATATTGCGAATATAATTCGCAAATTATGTATGTGTTTGATTTTATTTTGATGAGTGAAGTTGAATATATTATCTTTCGTGTGCAAAGATTAAATTGGTACGCAGTTTCTTTTATATATTGGATCTCTCGAGCGGGCAATGTGCATACATCTCGACTTTGCTAGCCGTTGCACTTGTATCCACGAAAATGTACTTTTACTTTATATTCTGTATTCTTTCGTTTCAAATTGTCTTGCAGTTATCGTGCTATCGGTTTTCGAGTTTGTTCACTTGAAAATAATAAGTATTTTGAACAAGAATGTAGTGTCCATCGCCAACAGCAAATAAATAAATGCACATTTATATCTTTTTATTGCTGAGCCCATTAATATTAATGACGAAAGCCTTTAGTAATTGTATCGGAAAAATGAAATTTGAAGATTCTCAAACAAACAAACGCTTACATTTTTATTTTTTAACAGTTTAATGTTTCCCATATTGTATATATTATACATGAAAATAACTGATACACATAAGTATTTATAAACGCAATACTTACTAATTTACTATGCAATTAGTAAGAAATAAATATTGAAATTCTTTTTTACATCATTCTATAACTTTTAAAAACCTTGATATGGTAATAAATTCATGTTCCTAATTAAAATTACATTTTTCTGTCCAAAATATATGCATTATAGTAAAATATGAAGCCTGTACCTTTAAAAAGAAACATTTTTAAAAATGAAAAAGAAAAAAGGAAATAAACAAGATAATAATTATTGTGATTGAATCATATAATCTCGTTTTATTTCGAATTTTATTTATTCAGATGACACAAATGAATTGGGTCACATATATATTTATCGTTTTGCTACCTTGCGAAAAATAATTTATTACCATGCCGTATGGAAAATAAGTCAACTTTTGGAATTATTAATAAGTATTTATTAATAAGTGTTAAGTAACATGTAAAAGTTTGACGTAACAAACCCTGATTCTCGTTTGACGTCATATCATACTATATATATGTAATATATATGTGTATATATATGCACACACATATATACAGTTCAAATAGAATATAGGGTAACACCGTAGCCTCATCTGAGAGAATTGCAGATACGTGTAGATCGAAGCATATATGTGTGCGTCTTATCGTCACAAAATATTCCATTAAGAAAAAACATAGAAGAAAGGAAGAGAAAAAATAAATAATTGCAGTTTTGCGAAAATTGCAAAAATTTAGCTTTAATATTCTTTCCGCTAAAGAACTGATTTTTCGGAATTTCCATGGAAAATTATACACAATATTGTGAAGTGTATAGCTGCATCTGTCAAAAAGAAACGTGCAATATTTATTTTAAATAAAAAAAAAGCAAGAAAAATAGAAAGTATAGTCACACTGCAGTCATATGCTATATGATTTTTACAGTACGCAACAGTGTGGTGAAAAAAGTTTTTTTTAATATATATTATATTATTTTTAATAAATAAAACAAATAACCAAACTCTCGAGAATATCAAAAAACACAAAACAAATAAGGGCTAATGAGAGTTTTTTGCGCGGTTGTTAGTGCGAAAATAAAAATCGTTTATTATCGAACTATAGTATAAATTAGTTACGCATAAACGTTTCGGCCTGCTTTCGAGCCATCATCAGTATGTCTGAATGTATAATGTAAATTCTCACTTCTTCATGGCAAGACGGCAGAGTGGCAACTCAATCTTCTTATTCAATTGGCAATGGTTGACAATTCTAGTGGCAACGAATAACATCAGATAAAAATTCATATAGCCATAAAAGACACACTGAAAAAAATTTCTGGTTGAAAATGGACGAATCAGAAATTTCTCTCTCTCTCTCTCTCTCTCTCTCTCTCTCTGGTTAAATTTATTAGAATTCTAGTTGAGATAACCGGAATTCTGGTTTTTCTCAATGCATGAACATCAAAAATCACTCAAAATCGAGAGACAAAAGATCCGCAAATTATTCATGTTTAACGAAACGAATATTGTGACGGTCAGCGTTCAAAATGTCTTTCATGGCTATATGGATTTTTATCTGTTATTCGTTGCCACTGGAATTGTCAACCATTGCCAATTGAACAAGAAGATTGAGTTATCACCGAGGGGGTAACCATTAGCTGAAATATTGTCCCACAGATTACATGACTTCATATGATTTCATCTGATTACAAATAATTTTTTGCGCTACATATCAAGTCGTTTGATAAAATATACGAATTTATTTAATATTATACAATGATTTATCGTGATTGCATACGTAATTATCGAACTATACATGGAAATTTCATATGAATTTTATAATGATTTCGAGGACTCTGTCCCACGATTACATTAAGTGGTTACCCCCTCGGTTATCACTCTGCCGTCTTGCCATGAAGAAGTGAGAATTTACATTACACATTCAGACATATTGATGATAGCTCGGAAGCAGGCCGAAACGTTTATGCGTAACTAATTTATACTATATTTCGATAATAAACGATTTTTATTTTCGCACTAACAACCGCGCAAAAAACTCTCATTAGCCCTTATTTGTTTTTTGTTTATTATTTTTAATGTTATCTCGTTTTTATTATAAAAATAAATAGTAATTAACATTAAAAATAAATAATAATTGCATTGTCAAAAAAAATATATATATAACAGGTATCTTAATTTATAAAAGAAAGTAACATTATGTATAGAATACAGTAGAATATAAGCATTCTTAATGTAATATTGTAATTAAAGTTTAACATAATTAAAAATTATCTTACTAAAGCTGAACTATGCATGTATCATAATTGTTATTTAATATAAATTTCGGAATTTATTAATCGAAATCGTTGAAAGAGAGAGGGAGAGAGAAGCAATTATTATTTTTAATATAAACATGCGGAATATATATACATATTTTCTAGAAAATTTTGTTTTGAAAAAATACTTTCATTTATTTTTCCCCCCAATGTTAACTTCTTCCTTTCATATTCTTTTCGAATACGCGGCTAGATTTGATTACTGCACAAAGTGCGAAGTAAACATGCTTGTAAAACGTTACCTTTCAGTTATAGGTAGAATAATATCAAAAACTTTAAGCTGATTTATTGTTGTCGCGCAACTAGTTCGTGCAAAATAACCGTCGTTCGCCGAACTTCCTCGCTAACGGAACTTTCGTTCTCGCCAGTTGTTCTTGTCGTTAGATATAGTAAGCGCCTGTAACGAGCGACCTGGACTCGTGGATGATTAGTTTTTTGGGATAAATTTTCAGTGAAGCAATATTGTGCGCGCATAACTTTTCTGGTGACGACGACATTAATATTGATTTTCTTCATAAATAACGACGAGCAAAAATTAATCATTAAAAAGAAAAAGTCTTTTTATTTTTAAAATTATCGTTTTATTACAATTTCAATATAACATATAAATGTTTTATTCTAAATAAGTAATATTCTATTTTATTTATGTAAAGAAGTCTTGAACACTAATTATTTATTAATTATCATTTATTAATTATCATTTATTAATTATATAGTTATTTTAATTTTATTATAATATATAAAAACTTTGCCATATTATAAAGTGTATTTCTGGAAAATAAATAATTAGAAAATTTAGAAAATTAGAAAATTACACATATTAATTTTGTGTAATGGAATTTATATTATTATTGCTGTTTTTTTTTTATACATTCAATCAAGATTCTTTATTTTAAACTTAATTATTTATAAAAAAATGAAAGAAAAAGGGCTATGAGCCTAAGAGTTAGTCGTTAGAAATAGAAATTTTTTAAAAATCACAGGATAAATATTATATGTCATTTAGTCAGAATATAAAACTTTAATTTGCTGGCAATAAACAATAGAACACAAATAAACGTTTCGATCCCTGTTGGATCATTATCAATGTTAATATACAAAAATAGAACGGTGAAAATATTACAAAGTTAAAATATATAAAAATTACAATTCGCTTTCAATCGCAAGCAATAATATAATAAAACTCACAGTTGTTTAATATAATAAAACTTCTCTCAGTATGAGTTGAAAGTTATACGAACGTTGTAATTGGTAACAATGTGTGCTTCCGGTTATTAGTTGTAAATTAAAATAATTCGTATTTTGTAAATCGTGTGTCAGTATAATATAAAATTCTCTATTTTCAGACAATGCGATGAGAGTGGAATAGTCATATCTCTAGTATGTTCAGAGACAATGTTAATTATTTATAATTTTTAATGATATTAAAAGATAAATGTGCTAAATAAGGGAGGCAGCTCCGATGATCTTGACATATGTTGTCAAGGTCATGACCTTGAGCGACCTCCACCAGATTTTAGTTGTCGCTCGTTATTCGTTAAAAAGTTAACAAAAAAGTTCATCAATAAAATCTAACTTTTGGGTACAACTGCGCTCTTTGAAACAAATTCCTTGCTTTAACAAAATATTATCTTTCTTATATAATTTCTTATATAATTTTTGTGTTTTTAGAAAAGATAACTTGGCGAGAAAGCAACTTCGCGAGATGGGGAACGAACTCGCTTCGCGTGGAAGTAGTGCGCCCCTAAGCAGGGGGGGAGGTGGGATGGGAGTCGCTTCATGTGGTAGTCGTACTCCGCTGAGCAGGGGGGAAGTGGGGTGAGAATTGCTTCGCGTGGAAAGTTGTAAAATATATTTTAAAGCCGAGAATTTTTGTTTTATATAGTAGAAAAGAGATATCATTTTTCAAACTTCTTTTGTTAATAACTTTTTAATGAATGACGGCTAAAACCTGATAGAGGTCAGAATCCATGACCTTGATAACATATGTCAAGGTCAAGGTCATCGGAGCTGCCTCCCCTATTCGGCATATATAGTATATATACTATATGTATATACCGCGTGTTGCATCAACATATTGGTCTGTCAGGTTATTTTATATAAATGTATCTAATATCTTTTCTAGCTGAGATATTATATTTATAAAATTAATTAATTGATTACATTTTATAAATGTAATGCCTACTACAGAAGACGCTACGTTTATAAAATATAATCAATCGATCAATTTTATAAATATAATATCTGCTAGAAAAAATATTACATTTATAAAATAACCTGACGTACTGACCAATATGTTGATGCAACACGCGGTACATAAATAATATGTGTGTATATATATATATATATATATATACACACACACATATATATACATATATATATACATATACGTATATATATACACACATATATTCGTTATTCCCTACATATTCCGACTTTCAACAAACAGATTTCGAATTGTTAAAATTAAAAGCTTTATTCCGGGAAAGCTTTGTAACTCCGGAAACGAATGGTCAGCGTTCCCAGCTGATTTCACAAACATTAAAATCAGTGGCGGAATTGTGTTGTTGCCAGAATTTACGAGCGTGTTTGGCTGGACTGTGTATTTTTCGGTTTGACGAGATCTCTCCATACAGCCATAGCGACACGCGGATTTACTGTACTACGACGTATCTACAACTTTCCTCATACTCCTTGAACTCGACGTCAACAGCGTCGAGCAGTGCATTCGACCGTGGTGCTCGAGAATACGAGGGGTTGAAGTCTGTCATTTGATCTTTCGGTCCCATGACGCCAAGTCGTGCTCGTACACGTGCCATTGTAGCTAGACATTGTACAAATGAATGGCTCTGGGGAAATGTAGGACAATAATCCATCGAAATTGAACGTCTATTTTATTCTTCGTTATCGTTCTTCCGAAGTTACATTATTTCAATCAAAACTGATCGTTTGCATTGACATGTTCAAATTGTCCATTTGCGATATTTGAACGTAATGTGTAAAATATGTAGTAAAAAATTAAATTAAATTAAAAAAGAGAAGGAAATGGTACATTTAAAGTCATAATGTTTTGTCAAAATATTAGATGTGTACTACACGATACATTACATGATACTATATTATTACTTCATCGTATAAATACAAAGAGTGGGTAACTCTAAAAAGATAAAATAATATCTGAAAAGTATATAAGTAGAAATAAATATTATAAATAGATATATAATAACTAAAAGGTATATACTACTATACTAGAGAATAAAACAAATTAGATAGCATGTATTCATTTATTTGTTTGACTGTTTCCAGGTCGCAAGTTCCATTGGCCAATCACCATGCGGAGCCGTGAAAGAAGAGAAGGGTGTGCAACGATTGGAAGCCATGTTATACATCTTGGACCAAATTAACGCTGATACAGAACTCCTGCCGAACACAACATTGGGTGGTCTCATCCTCGATTCCTGCAGTAGCGATACTTATGCTTTAGATCAAAGCATGGAGTTTGTTAGATCATACATGAATCAAGTAAGTCGTCATTTCTTCAGCATAATAATATTTAATTTGCTAAGTTTAGCGATAATTTTTTGCAAAATTTTTAAGCATCAAAAAGAGCTAATGATAAGTGTTCTTTAAGTCGCTATATAATATCTTCAATAGTTTATAAGAAGAAAAACTTCGTATTTTGTACAAAAATTATATTTTAGATAGCATGTATTTTATCGAATCAGGGTAATTCGTTTGTGATAAAAAAAGACGATAATATGATTTTTTTTCAAATAAATTTAACCATCAATATTCGTTTTACGATTATTCTCATGCGCGATAGTACAGTCTATTGCGCGCACTCTGCCACTGCTTATTTCGTTAAATTACGGAAATTACGTTATTTCACGTCGGTTTTGAGGTAAAAGATTCAATATTCAATCTATTTGACATAAAACAGACCGTGCGGCAAGGGAAGAATTTATGACTTGGCGATCTTGCGAGAATACGGATAGAAATTTGATCGAGAGGAACGCTTAAGACGCATGATAGCACATTACTTTCTTCTTTCCTTGCTTTCTTCTGTCTTCTAGACATTTGTTCTCTTTATAGACTTAATAACAAGCTTTATCGTGTCGAAGCTCAATCTCCTATATGTTTTTGAACTAGGAACGCTTTTTGTTCTCAAGATGTAGTAGGAAATTTATGAAGAGAGAGAGAGAGAGATTCGAAAAAAGATTTCAAAAATCGCTCCTCTTTATTGATAATCATTACAAATGTGTTTATGTTGAATAAAATTTTATTTTGTTATTTATTAATTAATTTTAATCTCTTCTTCTATATGAAATATAAAATATCTTATACATGTCAGTATATTTTAGTAAAATTAAGACACATAAATGAAATATAGTTTAATAAGATTTTAATTTAAAATATATTTAGCAAGATATGTATTGTTGAAAACTCAAGAATTATAGAGAATTGCGGTATACTTTATTATGCCACGATTTCAGTTAAAATTATTAGGTCGAAAAACATTATAGAAGCTGTAGGAGATGAAAACAAGACTGGTAATTTTGAGCTTTCAGCCTCGGGGCAGTTATCTTTTCCAAATTTTCGTGCTTCATACGTCGGCACTATCATGTCTAGTTTATAACAAAATAAGTATATCACGAAAACAGATAAGGTTATCCGCGTATCTTCGTTCTGGGAGTTTCTAAACTTCAGCAACAGTAATGACGGGCCGCTTTAGTTGGTTATCCATGCCGAAGTGGCGGCGAGAGACGATTGGATAACATCTTCCGCAAAGCTGATTAAATGCAACAACTCCCAGTGCTCTCGCCACTTCGCTCAATGAACGACCAACGTCAAAACTTGTTTTGAGAATGGGAATTCAAATGTATCTCTTATATCCGTGAATTCCTATTTTATATTTTAGAAATATTACGTGCAATAATATAGCCTAAAATTGAATTATTTTTCGTATTGAAATTTTCTGCAAAATATTTTTACAATATCCTTTCTTCAATTAATTTCATCTATAATATTTTTATAAACTAAATTTTAATTTAATCAAATGTAAATTTATTTAATATTTATTTAAATTTTATATTAAACCAAAAATGCTATTTAAAACTGCAATTAGGATATAATTATCGCATAATTATCATATACGATTCTTTTTGTTCCATAAAGTAAATATCAGTTTTATGTTCTATAAATTGTAATTTTCTATAAATCGCAATATATACACCTTATTCATAATTTTGTAATATATCAAATTTGTACACATCATAATAATGTGTTACAAGTTACAACCTATATTAATGTGTGCGTGCGTAAGTATGTGCATGCGTGTATATGTAGGTATGTGTGTATGTATGTGTACAGACAGAGATAGAGTAAAGTATATAGTGATTGACCACTTAAGTGCTGAAATTTTGTATAATCACTATTAAAATTATTTGAAATTTGAATTTAATACAAAGCGAACGTTAAGGGTTTAAAGAATATGCCAAATACAAAAAACTTTGAATATGATGTTTTTCATTTTTTCCAACAGTAGAAACTTTTATTCAGAAAATGACAGTTATTGACCACAAATTTTACAGTTATTGAACAGAAAAGTGACAGTGATTAATTATTAAGTGATTTATGAATCATCAAAATGAAGAAAGAATTCAGAAAATGAAAAGGAGATAAATTTAATGAAATTTCAATTACACACACAGAACAGGGACCCATTGTTATTTTGATGTTCAGTGGTTTATCTTTTCTAAATTTAAGCTTTGATTTAGATATGCCACATATTCGTGCTGCTTCATTTAACTCCATACCTTTACGAACGGCATCGTTAAGTGCCTCAGTGTATTTCATACGACTTACTTTAGGGATTTTGATGAAAAATTAAACTTACAATATTATAACATCTCAAAATAGTAATTTAATTTATGAGGAATAATTATCTAATGAATAATATGTGAATTACAATGAATGATCAATAACTGTAAAAAATAAACTTTCTCAATTACAATTATTGACCACCCTTTCATTCTCGTAATTATTACATGAATTAAAAAAATTAATATGTAGGGAATATTCATAACCTTGTACTAGCTATGTACGATGAACAAAAGTTATATCATTAATTGTTTCATAAAAATATAATTTACTATTTGAATACGTACGCTTAATTGAAATGTTAAGTATTTCTTAATTATGTACTACAGTTTTTCTTACGAGTTTAATTTACGGACTGGAAAATAAAAAATAGACTGTAAATTGAATATTTTATTCATATATAAAGTTAGTAAAGATCAGTTATTACTATGTTGTGAAATTAACTGTTAATTTGACTTGAATTTTAATATGTAGACAAATTCATAGCGAACAATCACTATATCGTGATCAATCACTGTATACTTTAGCTTATATAGCAAAATTTGCCAAATAAATGAAACTAGAATATCTATTTAATATTCTATGAAATATTTCGAGTATAGTATCTTGAAATATTTCAAAAATGATACTGCTAACAATTTAATTAAAAATTACACGAGAAATATAAATACTATGTCACATACTTATTCTCAAAATTTATTCTCATTTAATTATGAACGGTGTTTTTGTCTTCTGATTCTTGTTTCCCTTTTTTGTAAATTAATTGTCCTTCATAAGGTTTTTATGCTTTAACATAAAATCGATTTTGTATATTTTTATATAAATTTAAAAAAAAAGATACATGTTAGTGTTATTAAATGCTGTGTTAGTGAAAAAGATATAATAATAAAATTGCTATTTTTATTAAATTTTTTAAAAATTCTTTTATTTTTAAGAACTAATAACGTAAAAATTTATTTTAATATAACATAGAAACGTTTGCAGCATGAGAGAGAAAGAATGTTATACTGCAAATTGAATTAATTTACAAATCAATTTTTATGTAAACAATTGTGATGTCAGATAAAACTAATTATCATTTGTTTTGGGGAACATAAAAGAATTAAAACAGTAATATTATTTCTATAATTAATTATAGACTTACAAACAAATGTTCTATATACTGGATGAGAAATTTGAAAAATTTACTTGAGAGATAGTTATTTGTAACTATCTTGTAAGTAATAAGAAAATTATGTGGAGACATTATTTATATTTATTTATTTATATTTCAATTGATATAACCTCGAAATTCGTTCATTATGTCATGATCCTGAGTGTATGGTAAATGCATGATAAATATGTATCGATAAAAATTATACATCTATGCGATGAATCCAAATCTCTACACCGTGTCCCCGTTGCGAATATTACAAAGTACAATGGCGCCGGATCTTGTGAATTGAAGTGGTAATACCCGTAAATATTTATCGCTCAGTCGCGCCAAATGAGATCGTGTCGCTTACGTTCGAGAGACACGATTCTACCCGCGAATCTATGCGCCAATCCTTGCACTTGCGATTATATCAGTGTCGATGACGGATGAAAACAAGGTAAATATTTATTAACGTAGCAGAGGTATAAGCCGCTTTTTGTGTACGCGCTACTCGAAGTCGGGGCCACTCAAGCTGAGGTCGTGCGCTGAAGAGGAGACACGATCGATCGATCAATTGGTTTTCCTCCCTTTATTCAGCGTGAGTCAGCCGTTAGATGGCTCGTACCGTTACACACTATAAATAAATGCGTTTTTTCTTTACGTGGGATAAGGCCACCCCAAATGATATGCTTAATATAAATACTGCTATCAAAATAATAGGGTGAATATAGAATATATATATATACACCGAGGGGGTAACCACTTAATGTAATCGTGGGACAGAGTCCTCGAAATCATTATCAAATTCATGTGAAATCTCTATGTATAATCCGATAATTACATATGTAACCATGAGAAAGCATTGTCTAATACTATAAATAAAATTATATATTTTACCAAATGACTTCAAATGTAGTAAAAAAAATTATTTGTAATTAGATGAAATCAAATGAAATCATTTAATCTGTGGGACAATATTTCAGCTAGTGGTTACCCCTTCGGAATACACACGATTCGTAGCGAAGAAATGTGAGATATCGGAAAGTTTTTATTTTAAGTATGGTATCTAATAATAATTAATAATTTATATAGTGGTATGTATTGAATATCTGACTGTGTACAATTAGCGTGCGCATCACAATGCATATGAGAGAAGTCACCATGCTCGGTCACGAGCAATAGAGCTGAGAATGTATTGAATATACAGATAAAATTTACAGCGTACAGCAACTTAACAATAAAAAATAAAATTAATTATGCTAAATATTATTATAAGTTAAAAATATGTAAACATAGATTATATTTATAATATGAATCATTATTTTGAACATAATAATTTTTTAAATCTCAAAATGCATTTAATAACATCAATGTACATATATAAAAAATCGATGTTCCATTGTTGGACTATTCGTACACCGAAATTTTCGGAAAGATTATTTCATGATATTTTATACAAAGCATTTCTATAATTAATTGTTTTTTAGGATGATAAAGGACTTGAAAA